TTTATATACTTTTAGAAGAGCTAACTAAAAGTTCCTCAGACTTTAGTGCATCCCTGATGCCAGGAGCAGGAACGAAGGGAAATGTGAAAGTGTTGGGATCTGCCTATATAATTTAATAGAATACCTTTTGTCTTTTCTTCTTCTTAGTTTACCCTCAATCTCTTTTTGAAAAATTCTTATTATCTTCCCTAGATAAGTTTACGCAGTGCTTATATGAATATCCTCTGCCTTTACAATCCACCTTGTGTATGTCATGGTAAGGAAGGGAGCTGCTCAACTGTTGGGGAAGATTATGGTCTGGTGCTTAAAATGAAGGAGTAGAGAAGAGGAAATCCAAATGCCATTCCAGACCTATCATGGGCAATTTCTTCTCATGATGTGGGAAATGTTTCTAAACTAGTTGTAATGACTTTCTCATTCTCAGATTTCTACGCTGAGGTGTTTGGTGTGGGGCTGAATGAGGCAAAACCAGACACCACTTCTGAAATCCTGCTATTCACACACGGATGACTATTCTTGCTCTACCTGTGAGCATCCTGATTAGCCATCAGCATAACTGATTAATGATTTAAGCACACTGAACTTTACAAGGAAAGATGAGAGAATTTTCTGTGTTTTATTCTCTTTAATACAGAAGGGGCATTCAAAATCTCATGCCAGCTTTTCTCACCCTTTCTCCTAAGACCAGGATCATGATGGAGATGTCACTGCTCAGCCTGTTCCAGCAAACGCAGGATCTTGATGCAACATCTTAGCGAGGGCAGAGGTTTAAGCCTACGATGTTGTCTCCATCTAAATCATGCTCAGGACTGTAGGAAGCGGGGAGGGACTGGGTGCAATTGGTCCTGCATAGTGGGACTGAACAGCAATTAGAGGTGTTTCTCTGGTCTATGGAGACCACTAGATCCTGATTACAAATAAACAAAGACAGCCAGGCCCTGTAGTCCCCAGGGACAATGCTCAGCATGGCTGATAGATTGGAGAATCCCTGCCTAGCATTGCTGCATTGTCACGACTCATCTCGGTTAGCTTCACCCAGTTGAACACTGCAGGCCAAAAGCAGGAAGGCTGGGATGCAGAGAGGGAAATTCAAAGCCAGTTGTTCAAATCCCCTAGGTTCCTTTGGAAACCTTGGCTCAGCATCCTGCATGCCAGAGTCTAACAAGCCTCTCGAGAAAAAAGACAGCAAATGCTAGGATTTATTAATAATCGGTCTAACTTCTTAGCACCTTCTCTTGTGGCCTTGGTTGCTAGGAAGCTTGTATGAACACACAAAAAGTGAAGTATTAATAGAAAGAAACAGCAGCTGATGGGAGCTCTGCACAGAGCAGCGCAGTCAGTGCAGGGGATGCCCTCGCAGGACACAGCAGCCTGGAAAGCTTTCCAAGATACATCTCTACTAGCAAGCAAATGTTGCAGGGGTCATTCTCTGGTCCTTCAGCCATGCCCATGCTATTAAACTCTCTCATTCTCCAAAATTGTGTGACTGCAACCATATAGCTCCCTGGGAGCAAGTCCTGGCCCTACTGACTCACAAACCATTCCTGGAAATTGTTTGGGTTAACACTAGATGGTCTAGGTCAAAACTATGCAGGGGAGATCTAGTGCCCAAGCTCTGACGCTTTTATTTCACTCATAGATGTAGCCACAAATTCCAAGGCATGGGCTGGCCTATGGGAGGTGCTGAAATCTTCTTCAGAGACTTCCCAAGCCTTAAAGCTTTGCTCGAAATACTCAGCTCTTGGAGCGGTCCTGGTTTGATTTTTGCAGCAGGCTGGCGACGTGACTTGATAGCCACCTTCCCTTGTAAAAAAATACTTTGCAAATTGCTTGGGGAGATGAAAAATGTAATAGACAAGAAGTGGAAGAGGACATTAAGTACAGACAAAACCAAGCTGGAGAGCAGAGATCTGGCCTTTCTCCAAGACCTAGTCTCTGGACCAAGTCCCTTGAGTTCAAGCAGTTTCATGCCCAAGGTCACACAACTTGCACTGGAGTAAGGCTGCTTTTCCATGACGATGTTCAAGAGAAACACGGTGCGGCTTGCTCAAGTACAAATCCCATTAGGCTTGCCTTCCTCCACAGTGTTTAATGTTCTATTTACAGGTGTGGATGCCAGGATCAAACAGGAAATGCTTGTGCTCTTGGTATGGAGCTCTGTGTGCACAAGCAGGGTTGGGAGGGAGGAGGGGAGCCCCCAAGTTGTTGCAGACGAAATCTGTAAACCTTGCCTTATCCCACATTATCCTCCCTCAGCTGTTCTGCTGGGCGATGCCATGTGGTATCCAACAACTGTGCATTCCTCACAAGAGGTGTCCGCATTACAGGGGCTGTGGGCATTAGCAGATGAGCCCTCCTGTGGCTGCTGCAAAGCTTTTCCATCCCAGAAGAAGTGCTGCAAATCTTGGGGGAATTTAGTGTTTTCACAGAGCATTGCTGCATTTGAACAGCACCTGCCCTGCCAAGGCCTCATTGGAAGCATACCACTGCCCTTGTTTTACACAGGTTACTTGAATATGGAGCAGGTTGGCCCGAATCATGCATTAGTGAGTGAAAGAGCTGGGGGATAGGTCCAACGTCTCCTTTTATCCAATCTGACTGTTTCAACGTGGCATTTCCCTTAAGTGCAGAGAGATAACGTACTCCTGGACCTGTGCTAGGCAGAGCCATCTCCCAGAGGAGTAACAGCTTGGCTGGCCTTCAGCTACGTTTCAAGTCCTAGACAGGTCTTCAGTGGCTCCATACTTCCACCTAGTGACCAAAAGCTACTGCTCACATCTCCTCCTTTTCTTTATTTCCTTTCTGCTTGCATTGCAGGCATATTTCTCAGATACCCAGTGCTGACTCTGTCCACCCGTTTGAAGGCTATTTCCATTGATTCACATAAAGTCTGATAATCTCCGAATGAATGATTGCACATGAGCAAAAACAGATGGCCTGTGGGGATATTTTTCAGCAGAGCTTTCCTTCAGTAGGAAAAAAAAATTGTTTGCACTCAAGTACACGCACACACATCTGAATTTGCACACACTCAAATGTGCAGGTGCACATGCATAGCATATACACATATATTTATTTTTCAAACTGTATTGCTCTCCTCTTTGGAGGGCAATAACACCTAAACATCATCATCAGCGTGCAGTAAGTCTGCATGTTTCATATAACAAGGCCCTTGTGAGAATCCACCATTCTTTTCCTAGTCGGAAGTGTGGGTGAGAAGCCTGTGTTTCTGGTAATTAAGGACAACGTTACCCACCAGCTTCCCTCCTTCTTTCCAAGTTGCAAGCCATGCAGGAGGAAGGTTCCTGAGGTCAGGAACTGTAATGCGGCCCACCCACATGCACCCACCCATGTGCCTAGGGGTCCTTTAAGCTCAGCTCAGGGCTTTCAGTCTCTGCCTGAGCTGTGCTGTAGGTGTGACTCTCTCCAGTCCGGTCTTCTGGATGGACGTTGGACCCATGTCGTAGCTCTGTCTCCAGCTCTATCTCTTTCGGTTTTGACTGGACCCCCTTAGAGGGACCCTGGATCTGATCCATCCCCTTGCTGTGGCTGGGGCTCTTGGTGGCCCACATTAGCAGCACCTGGCTCTGCCCATGCTGTTCAGACCCAGCAGGACTGTGTCCTGTTCATGAAGGCACTGCCTGCTCTGGGGTCAGCCTCAGCTCCTAGCTCATCCTCCCTCATGGAGTAACTGGTCCTTGCTGTGTCCTAACACGAAAGCAGATTGCTGCCTCAGACTCTGGGTCTCGTCACCTCTGGTAGCAAGGTGCTACTCATGGTGAGAAGGCGTGTACAAAATGAAGGGGATAAAGGAAGACTTTGAGGGAAATCATTATCGCCTTTGAAGACTGTCTTTTCTCTGACTATATAAATACATATACGTATGTATGTGTGTATATATGTGTGAGTGTGTGTATACACATATATATGTACATGAATGTATATATTTAGAGTATTCCCTCAAGGTTGCTCCTTATTTTGACCATGCTTGCAGTGAAACTGGCTAATAAGTAAACTGAGTGTAGACTTGTGGGCAGAATGGGGTTAAATTTCACATGGGTTCCTGTAATCATTGGTTATACGCAGTTGTGACACAGGGGCTTGGTCCAAGAATAAACCAAACCCAACTGGTTCCAATGTGGGGCAGAGTTCCAAAACTCCCCTGAAAGTTGATCACCCATGACTTCGTGCCACCGAGTCTCTGAATTGAGGCCAGGGAAGAACAAGAGAGAAAGAACGAGCAAGCCTATTTCATTTCCTTTTGGGGATGAGGTAAGAGCATGCATACATACTGCTGGTGCTCAACTGATGTGTGGTAACTCATTAAATTGTAGTTATGTTGCTGTATCTCAGAGCTCCCTGTGAGTTTCAATGGAAACTTCCACAAAGGCATCCATACTAAAGCAGGGCCAGTATGGTTGGTGTCAATGCAGCTAGCTATTCAGCACCTGATTAAGGCTGGTCTGGGTTTTGCTGCCAGTCAGTCTAGGAGCATGGCTCTTCATGGGGTGAGCTAGAACACTATATATGGCCACTGCTCACTATCTCGCCACTGACTCTGTAAGGACACGTGGGAGTGTAGGTACCTGAGATGTGCTCAGGCAGTCTGCATGTGCCTTGGACAGAGTTCCTGCCAAGCTCAGAGGCTCCTGGTAGTGCCATGGAAGGATAAAATTGAGAGCATACAAGGCAACCTCAAACTCCGCTTGCTATGAAAGCCTCTCCCAGGTCAGTTGTCAGCATACCAAGAAACACTGTTCAATCAATTTTTATTGGGGGCAGGGAGGGTGGTAAAAGGAGAAGAATAAAAAGGATTGACCGTCCTGTTGAAGATCTAGTTATATACCAAGAGGAGAACAATTCCAGGTTACTCCCTTTGTGGTCATGCAAGACTTGGAACAAAATAGTTAACAGTAGCAAGTAACTTAGGTTAATAATTAAGCTTGCCTAATGTACAGGCCTGAGCTCTCTCTGTGATGGGCATTGAGCCTGCTGAGAAACTAGTCTGGTGGTTTTCAGCACACTGTGATTCAGGGTCTGAAAATCACAGTTCAGACCCAATCAGGGCCTGAACTGAGCACCTAACACAACCGTGGACCTAAAATTTGCAGCAGAGCAGGTGTCAAAGGGATGGAACAGCTATTCTGGCATCGGTACTTCCACGCTTTGCTCATTTGAGGAAGTGAAAAAGAGCAAATAGGATAAGGTAAGTAGTACTAAAAGAAGCCCCAGGAAGAGCAATAGCAATAAACCCAAATTATCTCTTATATGGCTGCTTAAAGTAGCCTCAGCTCTTGGAGCATCCTGCTCCTGCTGTGCTTTTCCTAGGGTGTTAAGCTGCAGCTCTTTCACTGAACAGCCGTAGGTATTAACTGCTCTTACCCAGCAGCTCTGAGAAAGTTTTTCTTTGGGATTTTGTGGCCATAATGCACAGTAACTGGATGACCTTAAAACCAGTGTTCTGTTTGTGGTAATGGCAATATCACCATTTTAGGTGGATTAAGGGGAAACGTGTATAAAAAAATCTGTTTTACTATAAAGTTCCTCTATCCTAGAGGAACCACCAGCAGACTTAGCTTAAACACCTGCTATGGGTGCCTTATGTTCCCCTCTGATCGCCGTGAAAAAATCTCCCTGCTTTAAGGGAGGAAGAGGTGCTTTGGTGACTGCACAATATCTACCACTAGAGTTCATTTTAGACTACTTCCAAAGGGAGTCTTTTTGTCTCCACATATGGTACTTTGTTTTACACCACAGAATGATTGATCTCAGTGCACAAACTGAAATCCTTCTGGATAAATTAAAACTAGAAGCTATGCACCAAATACACTCCAACCATTAATGGGTGTTCAGTCCGCGGGACTAGGCTAGAGCTAGTGCGGAGTAACACCCCTGAAACGCTTACAGTGTGGATGTTGATCGTTAGCATCAGTTGCTTTGTGCTACAGACCAGCTTGTATTGGGTTCTGCCACAAATGTAGATATGGCTTGGATGTGGATTTTGTTTTCTGCTGCCATTATCACTAAATATTTTGCTGCCCAAGTGGCTTGTTCTAAGCAACTGTTTGTGCTCCATTTCTTTTTCTTTAGTATATGAGATTGGTACATTACTAGTGCTAACATCTCAATGACCAGATCAGTATTAAGTGTTACCAAATGACAGGAGAACAGCTTCTCCAAGCTTTGACTAACTTAATTAGAACTCCTTATTGTGATGTCTGGCAGAGGAGCAAGTTCATCTTCCTACTCCTCTTTCACTTGAGTAAGGAACGTGCAGTACCCCAGCAACATCCTGCACTTGTGGACAAAATTTGGCCACATCCCTTGAACAACTGCCAAAAGCATTCGATCTACAAACTGCAGATCACTTCTCAGCATGCAACAGTCACTTTAGTAATCTGTCAAATCATCATATCCTCTGAATCACCGCAAAGAACTAGTCCTGAGTGCTTTATTCCTTTTATTTATTTATTTATTTTTAAGGTGTTGCATTATTAACCTAATAATTGGCTCAGTTGGCTTGGTTTTCATGAGCCTTGCAAACATTTGTAGAAAACAGCAGAGCAGATAGTTACGACGGATCATTGTTTAGACTGTCTCGGGTGACCTAATAGGCACTCACCAGTGTAGAAGAGGACTTCAATCAGTGAAAGGAGGGAAGATCACTGGATGGAAGAACATAGGAGCTCTTGGTACCATCATCCTGGAGGGAGAACTGGTCCTTAGCAAAGTTGAGTTCTGCTATTTACAAACTGACTGCTGGAGCAGGAATGTAAAAGTCCTGAAAGAAAGTCTTCATATCATTTTGTTCCTCTGAATTTGAGGGCAGGGGTCCTCCTTTTGAGGATTACTGGTTGTACACTGATTCACACAGTGATCTTGATTTTGTCCTCTATACTCTACAATAACGATTCTAAATCCTAAACTAATTTCTTGCCATTTGCTGAATCTCTGGTCTGAGCTGAATTTTAACAACCAAGTGATGCTCTGGGTAAAGGACCCAGCCCCCCATGAGGAACAAGTGACCCAGTCCCTCTTTGTGCTTTGGGGGTTTTACTCATTAAAATTTTGCTGAAATCATTGGTTCGTGATTATTTCCTTGTTAGTACAAAACCCAGGGCAAAGGCAGTAAAAGTTGACGGTCTATATTTTTAAATGTTGATTTCAGAGATGAAGAATGACCATGGCACAGTTTAGTTTAATGGAATAGATGTAACAATTTTGCACAAAGCAGCACACTGCTAGGAGAATTTAATACTGACATCTTTAAATCCTGTACATGCTTTCAATCCTCCAAGTGTGCATAGCCCCTGATCGGACTCAGTCCCATGAAACATGGCCCCCGTGGGGAAAACTCATCCTGAGCTGGGCTGGAAAGTGATCTACTTGGGGAGGCATAATGTTCTGTTGGGTGTTTCTGTGGGAGCGGTTTGCACTATTTCAATCCTTTACACAATGTGCAAGATGAATCAGGGATTTTTTTTTTTTTTGAACCATATCAGAGTTGTCTTTGTTCTCTTTGAGCAGTGGACTGTTATACAGCAGTCCACTGCTGTCCCCACAGGTTTGCAAAGTAAAGAAAGAATACAGATAGAGTTTGTTTTTAATGTTACAGGGAAGGTGTTAAGGTATTAAAGCCAAGGGCCTGAGCTGAGTGAGATCCTGGAGCCTTGTGAAATTAAAGTCCAAAGTCTGAGATGAACCTTCTGAAACCTTTTCTGAGTGCTGAGCTAATGCTCTTTGCAGGTGGGTACTGCAGATGCATTGTCTCCAACCATGCTGGTAACGCAACAGCTGCAAAACTCAGTGCCTCAGGGTTAGCTACGACCTGACTGAGTGCGAGGCATGCCAAAGTGTCTCTAAGAGGTATTGGATGCTATGTGATATTGGTTGCAGCACGCTGGATTTTTGCAACCCTTATCAGTGCTTTTGCTGGTTTTGTTTCCGTACTTAGTGGGCATTTCAGAGTGGGTGCCTGTAGTTGTTGTTAATTGTCCCTGTTCTGCCTGGGTTCCTCTTGTGCTTGCTCATGTCCATTTGCTCAATTGTCTTATGATTGTTTACATGTTGATACCAAGAGTTCATGCTACATGTCTAAAATCTTAGTTCAGACTGGTCAATATCGTTAAGTGAGATTGCATCAGCATATAGTTGATGATCAGCTGAAATGCTAGACAACAAACTGGATATCACTGTAAATAAGGGCTTCTGAAAAAAATCTGAACACTGGCTGGCAATTTCTTTCATAACCATTGGCTGATCTCCATCCTCATCAGAGGATGAGGGTCCTTAAAACAAATCCTAAATCACCTGAAGAATTTGATGCACTTATGAAAGAGACTATCTTGACTTAATTTCATAGAGTAGGAGTTCCTTTCCAGTCTGGTGTTTCTCTTTCCTAAGAACTTCTGCAAGAAAGAGCTGGACAAGTTGTCTCAGAGCCAGAAATCGATCTGGTATTTTGGCAGTCCTAAGTTTGGGGACAGTGTGCAGAAGTGAGCAAGCACATTTCTTTGAGAGCTGGAATAATAAACATGAGGTTTATTGTGTTAATTTTGGTTTTTGAGGAGGACAAGACACTGGGACTGTGGTTCAGTCCACCAAGTCCAGAAAGTATAAAAACTCTCTGAGAAGCAGGACTCTTACATAGGGCAGACAGTTGGGGCTAAAAAGGGCAAGCGATATGACTAACCTACGTGCCTATGAAGGAGAAATCAGGCGGATATTGCAATCACATGAGGACAGCCGTTGGGCCAACAAAATATGCCTTGTCCTGAATGAGATGGGTTTGATGTTTGTATTACACTCCAGCCTGATATAGTTGGGTTATTTTTGCAGTGACAGCTACAGGACTGCATATTATGCCCCGAGAGGGCAGCGTTGTTGGAGGAACGTGGATTACTATTACCCTGCCTGGTGAGTTTTTAACTCATAAAGCACGCATCAGAATAATAGAATCTTCTCTGCTCTGAGATTTGGAGGTGGAGTGACAAATTTCAAGTAACAGATACGCAGGCTGTGGTGCCCAGAACACAAAATCAGCTTGAAATTATTACTTCATAAACCATTATTGATGGTTATCGGTTTATATTTTTTTTTCAAGTGTCAGAAGTCAGATTTCTGCCTTATTTTTGTAGCACCAGGGCTAGAAAATCTCCTACCTATCCCACACCCCTCCTTTTTTAAAGGGAAAACTGAAAGTCTCTTCCGTTCATAGGTCCTCTGAAGCTGGAACTATAAGAACACTAGTGAAAAACACGAGATCTGGGTAAAAGCCAAACTGACATGCCTTGCTGATATATGCCAAAACTGTTAAACCCGATTGCCTAAAATTAAGTTTTGTTTTGTTTTTTTTTTTTAATTCATGAGTGCTGACTATTGACTCTCTGGGAAGAAATTCAGTTTCCAGACCGATTATTCTCCTCTGTTCTTTTAAGATGTTCAGGTTCTGACCTGGTCATCTATGATGTGATGTGATGAATGGCATCTGTCTTGCTTGTCTGAACTGTGTGTTAAGTCCCTTAGAGAGGATGAGCTGGAAGGAGAAGGAGCTCCTGTCTTCAGGTGGAGATGTACCCACCACAGCACAGTGTGGCAGGCAGGGAATCACACCTGGGAGCTCACACTTCAAGCTATCTGTGAGATATTTTGGGGGCACAGGGAGCAGACAGCCAGGCTGGGAAAAAAGGGAAAACACCTTTCTAGGAGCAGGAGGAGTTGCACAGCTGACTGCAAACTGAGAAACTGTTTACGTCTTTAAAACGAATGAGTAAACTGGGAACCACCTATGAAAAAGTGCACAAAGGGAGACTTGCTTAAAAGCCTTCCGTATTTCTAAATTGTATGGTTAAGTTACAAAAGGTAAACATGCTAGCTTTTGTTCAGACAAAATTTAGCTTTTTGAGGTTGAAAAGCCTTTGATATTTTGGACAGCTCACTCTAAAGAAATAGACTAAGTAGACCTACCTTGCATCCCAGGCCAACCTGAGGTCCTGTCAGTGTAACTATGCAAAGCAGACGTGAAACAACTGGTGTTTGCAGTCTCTCTAAATATATATGGGCACAATGGTTGTCCCAGTGTAGACGGCTGAAGAGATTCAGACTCCAAGTATAGAGAAATCTCTGCAGTAGAATATGTGTGGGAGAGGCCAGGTATTGTGTTAGAGGCAGAAAAGCCAAGCAGCTGCATGGGAAGATGAACTTGGGCTTAATATGAAGTAGGTCAAACCTGACTGAAAAAAAACCCTGATTAGAGGCCCTAAGCACTGCTGCTAAAGAGACAGTGACTTTCACACTCAATTTTCATATTATATGTGACTGAATGTGAGCAATCATGCCCTCACTGATCTTTTCTGGTTCATTTTTCATTACAAAGATTCAACATCCCACCAGCCTGCCTCCTCAGCCAGTGGGTCCCAGCTGGAGGTGTCCCTGGTGAATCCAGGCCTGCCCAGGTTACCATGTGATATTTCTCCTGCATATTTTGACTTATCCACCATAAGATGCAGAACAAGGTATGATCCTCGACTATTGTGTGGACAGACTTCTGCCATCTGTTTGACAGGATCCTCACTTTCTTTGTGTCCATACAGGCAGTTTGAGAGTGTAAGGGATTCCTATGGCTGCTACTAGCACTACATCTGAGCACCTCCTGATCTGTGCTGCGTTTACACTTGCTTCAACTTAATGAAGCTAAGGATCCCTAGCATGTGTGTCTGATAGACTGAGGCTTGGAGAAGCTATGACTCAAATACTCAAAGGCTTGCAGGCATCTGATTCTTATGTAGATGCATAATTCCCAAGAAATCCTGGGGATTTCACCACCTTTTTGTGTCCTTGATGTGTCCAAGATCATAAAAGAGCTGTGGTAGTGCAGGAAATAAATATGATTCAGAGTATTGGCTGAGCAATTTGAGCTGCTTTTTCAGTCTGTCATAACTTCAAAGACCTTTTTCTTTTGACTAGAAGATTAAGGGCCTCTCAAGAAGCTATAAGAGGGACCCTAATGGGGCTCTTCCATCTCTTGCTTCTATGATTTAGCTGGGAGTTATTTCTTCTGTTGAATATTATGATGAGAAACTATGTGCATTAAGGATGCATCATTAATTTACAAACCAGGATCAAGCTGCCCTGTAAATCTAGGCAGCCCTGGGTTATTTTAATACTAATGAATACCAATTAGTTATTCGTATTAATGAACACTGATGAGTATGTATGTGTTTTGCATTTACATACAATTTGGATAGCTAAAGTTCTAATATAAGCCTGCTACCTTCTGTACTTATCTGGAATTTCTTACCCTGTGTCCACATTTCTTTTTAATTCTAGCTTTTGAGTAGACTGTTCAGGCCTACACATCATAGTGTAAACTTTCCTTCCTCTGTCAAAGCCTCAGTGGACCTAGCAAGAATGTAGATACCTTGAGGGATCTGTCATTTACTTAGAAATAAACCTTCTTCTATATAAAAATAATGGGTTTTTTTCCACCCAGGTCTTCACCTCAGGAGGGTTTGTACTATGTGGAGGTGACCTCTGAAGGACAGGTGATTAACAACCCTACCGAGGTGGAGAAAGACAACTATACTTTCAAGGTAACCACCAAGCAAGAAAAGAAGTAATGATAAAGAATTTAAGGTATTGAAGGGGGTCAAGCTTTAGACCTAATATCACAGGAGACATGCTGAAACAGCATCTTTCGTACTGAATGCCAGGTTGCACGTCAGGACAAGAAGTTAAGACGCTACTTACGTCCTTTAAAATGAACTGCATCAAGGCACTCAGTCATTAGTCTGGCACTGGACAGACTAGTCAATCTAGGAAGTCTTTCTGAAGCAAAAATCTGTGTCCCAGGTAACCTATTCTTGCACTTCTTAAGCTTTTAGTAGGAAGACCCTACTGTGAAACTTTTAATATTGTCCAGAGAGTTGTCCAAGCAATCAGCCACGCTTTCTACGAACCTCATGGCCTTATTTGCCAGAATATTCAGCTCTCAACTGAACGAGTTTAGAAAGGTGTACACGATCATGCTAGCATTGTATGTGGAATGCCATGTTCTTATCAAACAAAGGTTGGAAGCAGCTGATAAACCTTGAAGCATAAGTCGATACAACTAAAAATCACATCAATCTGAAATGTTATGTCAAACCTTAGGTGTTCTTGTTCTCAGTCCAAGACCCTTTGACTTTATTTCCTGTTGGAAAAGGGGCAGGCAAGGAGCCCTGTAGGCAGACTGAGGTGGCATCTCCAGCTAGTAGAGCTGCCCCTTTTCTGACTGTAATTGCTCACACTGCTACAAAGCTTCTCATACGGTCACAGAATCATAGACTCAATCAGGTTGGACAGGACTTTAGGAGATCCTTAGTCCAAATTCTTGCTGAAAGCAGGGTTAGCTATGAGATCGGACCAGGTTGCTCAGGGGTTTATTCTGCTGAGTCTTGAAAATCTCCAAGGATGAAGATTTTACAGCCTTCCAAAGCCCCTGCTCAAGTACTTGACTGTCACCGTTCTTATGAAGGACCCCAGTCCACTCTACATAAAGGCAGCCATGAAAGTGCAAATAATGGACGGCTAGTTTTAACCTAACGCAGCCAATTCTAGCTGAACTGAATTGGGGGGCTCACATGAGATTACTTCTTTTGGGTTTACCCTCCTAGCTGTAGGGTAGTAGCGTATAGTCAGTCAGCAGTGGGAGGTAGTGAAGGGCAGGAATACCTCATATGGGCATAACTGGTTTCAGAAAAGGGGATCTCTCCAGGCCTGTGAGAACTTACCACCCCTCAGCCCCCTCCAGCAAAGTATTTAGCCCTTTTGATTCTCAATACCAAAACATGTTGCCTTTGGAGGTTGTGGGGTATGCTGGTGTTAGAGCAGTTAATGATGATGGTGTTGGGATCTCTTGCAGCGTGGAATCCTTAACTGTGGACGTTTGCTTGAGGATGAGGCCTGGTGTGTCTGGAAGTCACGTCCTACCTCTGTGCTAACTTTGAGTATTGAGCAGGAAAGCCCAGTGTTTCAGTAAATGGCACATTAAAGTTGACGAGTCATTGGGTGGCTCAGCTAGCTTGCAGAGCTGATGAAAAATCACCAGGGGATGCTGTTAATGAGATGCATTCCAAGCTAAATAAAACACAATGTGTCTCTTTGTTTTGGGACTGGGACCTGGGAGCTATGCGTATTAAAAATTAATTTTCCCTCTGCAGTAGATTGAAAAAGCCTGCTGCAGGCAGCAGCAAGTCTAAACAGCTCAGACGTTAATGTCAGCTAGTGGCCCTGGATTTCCATGCTGTTTTTGACTCCTTTCTCTGCATCAGCTCCAGCCCAGGGTGTGGTGGGATGCTGCCTTTACTTCTCTGCACTGACAAGCATTGGAGGCAGTTTGTGGCTTTTCATCTATTTTGCATGTATGACCTAGAGGGAAGAAAACATTGGACTCTGAAAGGGACTCATGTTCAGAGAAAGCTTGCAGAGAACTTGCAGTAGACTCCTTGATTTGATTCTGGAAATGCAAGTTGTTTAAGCTGTTTATAGGCCTGTCAGCAGCATCCACAAGTGGAAATGGGGATGGGAAGGGGCTCAAAAAGAAGGTGAGGAGGCTAGAGAGATGTGACGAAGGTTCTTAGAAACCTGGGAGGATGGGAACAGAAAATAAACATGCATGGGAAACCTATCTTGTTCTGTAGGGTTAATGAAATCGAGCAGTTGTTATCTTAAATGAAATCAGAATTTAGCCAGTTAGTAGTGCTGCAGGCCAGATCTGCGAAGGTGTTTGTAGCTTCTGAGAAAGCAGATAGATAAATGGGTTTTACAAAATCTGAACAAATCTGTAGATTACCTTAGTCCCAAGACACTTGAACACCTTTATAGATGTGACCCTCAGTTTTCACATGGTACTCTTCATGTCCAGAGTGCAGAGTGCTACTGGGAAAGATGATGATATTACTCTTCTATTCCAGAACAGATAACTGAAACAAAGCACTGAAATGTTTTTTTTTGTTTTTTGTTTTTTTTGTTTCACAAGGTCTTCCTGTGAATCCCAAGGCTATGTCTGTAATAGTTAGCAAAGCAGGTCAGGATGCAGACCCCAGGCCTGGGACTGTGCCAAGGTTTCCGGATTTGGGTGGTTCTTTCTACCTCTCTTCCAGAAGCTGCCTGGGTAACGGCCAGACTGCTACCTACAGACAGTGTGGATGAGACCACCTTTTTGGTGTAGGTAGAGAGAGTTTCCCTATATGAACATAAACCCTGCAGTTTTCTGGATGAAGTAGCAGGTTCTATGTTATTTACTAACAGATCCTTAGTCCAAGAGCCCACATTCCCTTTCCATATCCCTCCTCGTGGCCTTGGCAAGACACGTGGCTCTGTTTCACTGGCCCTAGTGAAGTTGGGCGCACCTCAGATATATCTACTTACTGTTAGATGGCATTCAGCTAACCCAGCACCCCTGCCTTCAGCAGTGGATGATACCTTGTACTCTGAAGACAGCTCACTCCTTGTCCAAAGAATAAATGTTTTTTAAAATAACTTGAAAGACTTTCCACCACCTTTTCCTTTCCTTCAGTTCTGGTATCCAGACCCTGGACTTCGGTATGAGATAGTTTTCTGCTGCTGAGGCCCTCCATGTATTTGGCCGTGCTGGGCTTCCTTTTTGTGATTGTAGATAGGCCCATTCGCAGCAAATATCACCTGCGTGTGAATTAACAGCATGTTGAGGACCATGTGTACTTCTTGTCCTTGACTGAGTAATGTTCCCCCACCTAACATTTGAACAGGATTGCTGTCAGCCTAGACAAATGGTTGCTAGAGTCAATTTGGCTAAAAAAATCTCACAAACTGATTTAAGTGTAAACTAAAAAAAAGGAACAGGGCTGCTCTGCCTGTTGAAAAGGCAGAAAAAACATCTTCCAGCTCAAGTATCAGTGTTCTTCAATTACTTTGAGAGTCAGAGGGTGTTCCTTCTACATTTGGAAAGGATTCCCGTGGGCTTCCCATCTTCTGAGAAGCTTTTCTTTAAGCAAAATATCTCTGCCCCTTCCTGGGCTCTGTTCAAATCAGGAACCCAGAGAAGATTTCCAATATCTCTGTGCCATTTCTTCGCAGAGCGGAAGGTAATGCTTTCCTGAAGGCACCTTTGATGTATTATACTGAGTGGAGACGGAGCTGAAATTGGGCCAATATAAGCATTTTTTTTGCTAAGGTGCTTTTTGGTACCCAACAAGCTTGTTGAAGGCTAGCTTGAGTATCTTTTCTGTGCCGTAGAAATAATTTTTAAGAGCATCTTATCAGGGCAAGGGAGGAAGGAACTGATTCCACCACGCCAGGCAAAATGGAGGCCTTGACTTTAGACAAAGCATGGCTTAGAATTTGTGTAGCGTTTTAAATCATCTTTTCTGAATAATAAACATCTGGGATCGTCTCAAGCCAAGACGTACAACTTGGGCACAGACGAAAAGGATGCAAAAATAGCGGCAGGTGAGACTCTGAATGTAGAGGGGGAGCAAATCTCCTGGGTAAGAAGGGTGCATTTAGACTTACTCCCTTTTCAGAGCAGGAATCCACTCCAATATTCAAATCCTAAAGTGCGAGTCTCTGAAATGTGGTTGCCAACTGTGTTGTGAGCAATGTGTAATCAGATCTTGTCAGGCTGCTGTGAAAACAACTGCCATTTAACTACAAATTTCTCCTTGCAGTTCTCTGCTGCGCAGACACCTGTGGTTTACCAAATTAGTCCACCATCTGGCATCCCAGGTATGGGATCTTTCTTTAAGATGGAGCTCACTTTAATTATTATTTGATGTTGCATACTGTCTTTCTCCTTATGAGGGGGTTGTATTGCTGGGGATTAAAATAGGCACCTCCAGAACTTAATGTCCAAGCTCACGCTGAATAGGAAAATGGGTTTTCACAGGGGAAAAGTTTGTTGCACTGGGTACAAGCAAAACGGGTAGTGCATAATGACCATTGGGGCATTTGGCACTTGGTCTCCATAGCCCAACTCTACCTGAGCAGGGAGATGTTGATTAGTTGTTCGGAGGGTACATCTAATCATTCTCGGTTCCTAAGCTGTCTGTCCTATTTCTTCCATAGTACTTTCAATAAGCATTAACTATTAAGTGCTGATATTATAATGCCGTTCACACTTGTAGTTAACGAAGCTTTAGACCAGATTTCAAATTTACCTGAAAAGACAATCACTGACAGTAGTCTGAAGAATTAACTGATGTTTGGAAAACACTTTTTTTTTTTTTTTCCCTCCCCTACTGCTATTCTGTTGGTAGTTCCAGGCTTTCTTAGAAAATTTTACTTAAAAGTTTATATCCCAAGTCATGAGCAATCAAAACCTTTTGGTCTCTTGGCAGTGTAGAGATGTATCTTCTGAGATTTAGTGGCACCTAGGTGATCTAATCATATCAGTCCACCAGAAAATAATCAGAAATTAGGAGCGGATTTCAGCTCCAGATTCACATGCCTTGCTTTAGGGTATCTATAGGGATGTTTCTCCATGTTAGTCAGACATCTGACCTCCCAAGATAGTCTGTGCAGAAAAAGAGAGTGACTCTAAGCATCTAGTACTATTCAAAATGTCCTAGAGTACAAGGGAGAGCTGCATGGGGCAGGTAGATATGATATAGGACTACGAAGGCTCGCTTCCTTCTGGACTCGCAGTTGGAGGATATGTGCAATACCTCAGGGTACCTCAGATGACATAAGACACCTATGTGTAGGTAAATGAATCAAGCAGTCAGTACAGTAAAGGGAGCCTTGAGAAGGTTTTATCTGGACAACTGTAGGTATTAGCATTAGAGTATATTGAATCACTGTGATTTCATTAACCACATATATTAGACCTCCACTGTCTCAGAAACCCAGCATACATAAGGAGAGCTCTGTGTTTATCTACAATGTAGAAAACTTAAGTGGGAACTTTGGTCTCTGATTTTGTTTAATTTTGTTTTAAACTGTTTATTCTAAGTACTTCTTTATTATATTGTATTTTAATTATTCCTCTGCACTACTGCTTTTCTTGTTTTAGGCCCTGCGTCTCTGGCGCCCTTGAAAAGGACTTTAAGCATAAACACTAGTGTGTTGGAGCGCTTGTCCTAAAAGTGAAGCGCTGTACTTAACTGTAAAAATGAACTTATGCTGAAGTCCTTTTCTGGGCCCTGACCTCCTCTATCGTAAAAACACAGCACACTCACATTTAGTGCGTGTAGGTGACGCTATTTGGTTGCCTCATGAGGTTCTGCAGTGGAGTTCAGTCAGATTTTTTTTAGTTAACAAAATACGTTGAGGGAAAGCACCCAGCTTTTAAAAGACTCCTTTTAATTTCCATCTCCTTTCAAACAGGAAATCTGATAGAGATCTATGGGAAGACAATTGCTGGAAGATATGAAACCCTGGACTTCGATGTTGATTATATTGATGGGTAATTATGTATAAGCTGCTACCTGACCTAGTCCCTGTAAATTGGCATTTCTTCCATCAACCTCCTTGACAGCAATAAATTGCAACCAGTTGGCCTAGAATTGCTGTTTCCTTCTTTTGCGGTTTATTGCAGCTCATGAGTTGGGCTCCAACAAACTTTGTTAATCTAATTGCAACTGGTCCATTAAGCTAGTTGGTTTGTTTACTGGCAGCACAGTCAATCACAGCTCAGTGTGAACTGTACTGTAATTGCATCTGGTTGTTGTAGATTTTATTTTGGCTAGCAAATTAAAATTTAACTAATTAAAATAATGTCAGAATCTAAAAGTTAAATAAATTTTCCGTTCCATTTGCATTTTTAGAAATACTATTAGTTTGAAGCAGATGCTTTCATGGTGAGCCAAAAGGCAAAGCAGAAGTGTTTTGAGACAAAAAGCTTAATTCTCCACTGCTTTAAACCTTCTCTGGTCACTTCCTGCTTCTCAAGGAAGGTTTGTTTTTTTTATTTCCTGCTGCTTCTGTGGTTATGCACAGCAGAGCAAAGCAGGTAAATTTTCAAATTTTCCATGGTTCCAAGGCAGCAGGATTTTAAGCACGAGTCCAAAATGAGTGTGAATGTTGCCCTCAGGTCCAACATATATATTTCCATATGTGTGGAAACAGTCTCATACTCTCACCAGGTTCTATTTTACCTCCACTTGTGACCATGACAGTGGAGAACTAAGCCCAGGTGGATACTTTAAAGAAACTATTAATCTATAGTCACTCTGGCATTTTAAGGACCAGTTCAGGACCCAGGGAAGGTGTATATCCCCACTAGGTACCTGGAAATCCTAATTCTTGATGTGTACAGCTGCAGATGTTTGACCACTGCGTATTTTCTAGCAATTTCCTGGCCTGGATGAACAGTTGCCTTGCTAAGTACTAAATTCTCTGCTAGTGAAAATAAAAGTCTGTTGTAGATTCCTGGCACATTAATTACACTTGTTTATCAGCTCTACATTTTTGCTCCCTGGATACCTATTAATGCATCCTTTGTTCAACAATAATTACTGTTTCCCCTGCCTCTGGTGAAACTGTGAAATCTTCGATCAGTGGGAAGAAAGGCTGCACTGTCTGACTTCGGGTTGGACATGCCTGTGTGCTCCATTGCTCCATTACTCATTTACAGCATAACCTCACTAACAGCCAAAGAGGAAATGGCCCCAAAACCTTAGCATACCAGATAAGTCCATATCATAGCTTCATGGGAATGCTTGCCTCATATTTGTTTTGTGTTAGTAAATATGTACTAGGATGTACTAAGGGGAACTTGGACTTCCCCAAAGCCATTTGTCACTCAGTCACACTGGGTAAAATTCAGGGCAAAAGAGGGAAGGGTTTTTGTACTGATGAAGGTGTTCTGTACTTTTTTTTGGGCTTTGTATGGGATACAATGGTCCAGTGATGCTAAGTCGATTGTTTCACAACACTGTAATTTTCTTCTGCTTTTCCTTAAAATAAACATATCTGAATACTAGCCAACTCTATTAATAAAACCGCATATAACTGCACCCAAAGCCCAGGTCATAGCAAAGTGTTTGCATTATAGTAGGTTTTTAATTACATGTTTTCCTTAATTGCCTGTTAATTCTCAAAGAATCATTACCACTCTTTGCTGCTTATGCTGATTACTGTGAATTTATTGCTCCCACCTGACTCCTCCTCTCTAGTGGAAGTCGTTTCTTGCCCTACTGGTTCTTTAAGGCGGGAATACTCCAATTTACTGTAAGGAGCTTGGGTGATTTCTTAGCAGAAGTTGTTTGTCACATTGTCTCTCCTCAAAGAAATAAAGAAATGACTGAGCTGCATCATGAAGCAATACAGCTGTAGCAGCATGACACTGCCCTTGTGCTGCCTGGTGCTTCTGGAAGGAAAGGGTGGGTAAAGACCTTCTGGGACCAAAGTGGCCAAGCCTCTGCTACAGAGAGGAGATACTTGGGTCTTTCAGAAGTAGCCAGGGTGTCTCTAAGACAGTTCTGCCACAGTCTGTATAAAGATGTGTTTCCTCACAGCGTGTGGACAGTATTTATACAGTCTGCAGTATTTATACCCTCTAAGATATAAGAGACTAGGGCTTGTTTGGTTTTCTAGGAGACCAGTAAGCGCTGAATACAAGTGAGGGGAAATTCCTGACCCTTTTGAAAATATTGGCTGCCTGTTTTAACAGGATCATAATTTCAACTGGGAAGCTTTATGTCTTGTCTTAAAGTCATGTCTTTCCTGTTTATTTTCTGCCTAGCCCAGCTTTCCTTGTGGCAGAAGTAGATGGATGGACCAGTCTCTGCTCTTTTGCCAACAAGCAAGCAAGAAGCATGTAAGCAAGAAGCATGTTAGTTTTTGACCGACCTTTGGTTTGTATTGGTGCAAAAGCTCAGCACAGCTTGTGCACAAACGTTTTCTGGCTTTTGGCAGAGCTTTCCTGCTTTGTCATAATGTGGGGAAGGACCATGAGGAGCTGACCACTAGGTCTGTGGTTGGTGCGGGCAAGAGCTGCTGGTGCTCTGCGGTTGCAGAGAGGATCTGCAGCTCTATCTGTAACAAAGTAGGGCCAAGGGCTGTTCTCTGACCTAGAAGCCATGTGGTATGGCCTGGCTGCATCTGGGTTTGTTCAACTCTCTTAGTCTCCAAAACAAGGTTGCAATATTCAAGCTGTCTTTTGGAAATAGACCTGGGCCAGTGCAGTCTGATACAATGAATCGTGTATGGATATATTCTGAAAGGTGGGTTAGCAGACCTCAGCCAAAACTGTGGAAGGACAGCTCCAAAAGTTTAGCAGTGTAGATGGACAGGGTCCAGTGAGAATGTCCTGGCATTGTTCCTTTATTGGTATGGATTTATCCTTATGTCCTGGAAGTTACAGGAGATTATTCTGGACTGCTGGCTCTCTTACCCTCTGCTGGGTTATGGAAACGGCCATGGGCTCTGTAGTAACATCCCCTTTAGTGCCCTGTCCTATGGACCGGTACAGTTTGTCACGCACCTCAAGAAGTTATGGAAGGCTGATTCCTGGAAAAAAGCAAGGAAAAAGTGAGATATGGCTCTGCCTGGCCACCATAGCAACCTGTAGAGTTTTGTTAACAGGATAGGAGCAGGTAATGAACTGTGCCACTTCTTTGATGAATGCAGAACTCACAGTCACCAAGCAGTGTTTTGCTGCTTGTGTCTCTCAGTCCATGCTGCTGTGGTGGGAACACGACACAGCCAATGTGACTCAGCTATGCTGTAGTGCTGTCTCTGATTTCTCCAGGCTACGAGCAATTATGTCTTACAGTGATCAAGTCTTTGAAAAAGTAAGGCCTGTGTTAAAGGAAATCAGAGGAAAATCCTGATTGCACAGACATTGGTGCTAAGGCTCCTGGAGTCCTCAGTGGGCCCACTTACTTCACTGTAAAATTTCACCTGCTCCCAGAAGGGGAACTTATATGCAAATGTGAATTGGAGATAGGACCCAAGATCCTGAGTGTTTAACCCCTGTTGCTGTGCAGGGGCAGGGTCTTGCCGTCGGATAACTGATGCTGCATGAGCTACTTGCTGCACCTTTAATGGGACAGAAGGCGAAAAACCCTGCCTGTGTGATGGGTTTTCACTGGAGCAGGTCTGGTCTTAACTCCTAGTGACTAGATCATGTTTTGAAGCTAGGTCTTCAGTTGTGCAAATCAGAAATTCAGTACAGATATGCATCCGTCTCTCAAACTACTAAGTAGTGTAGATATGAGGAGCGGGGCCACTCTTTGTAAGTTGTTTAAAGTTTTGCAGACCCATCTGTGACATCATTGATTTTTTTTTTTTCCTTTTTCCTTTCTCAAAGCAGTTTCACCATTTACAGCTCTTTTCCAGCTTGTGATCAATTCCCCCCTGCTGAGAGATCAGTTCCCTCCATCCCGTAAAGCTCATTTCCCGCCAGAGGCACAGAAGGTCTAAACTACCTTCTCCGGTTTTGCAGCAGGTGAAAAGGGAACAAACTCTATTTTAGGCCATCTCTAAATTGGGAGCCATATTTGATCTGCCCATCCCTTTGTGTAAATTATAGATCCTCTTTTTTCCCAGCTCTTCCCCTCCTATTTGCCCTCACCAGGTGCCCAGTCTCATCTCCCTTCAGCTCCCATTTCAGACAGAGCACTCAAAATTGCCAATAGGATCAACTTCTCGAAACAGGGATTACAGGGCCAAATTGGAGAGCTGCGTGTTGCTGGAAGGGATCCTTCTAAGCTAGTCAGCTCTGTCAACGGTCAGCGGAAAGATAAATGAGACAGGAGACAAATGAGGTGTTGTCTCCCTTTTTCTAAAGGGAGCCAAGGGTGGCTACCTCAGAAGTATAAGTCAGCGTCTTTGTTTGGTCTGATGATTCTCACTGTGTTTTTATGACCCTTTGGAAGCAAAAAGAACAATGCCTCTTTGTCTCTCTGCAGCTATCCTATTCGGGTGGAAAATGGACTGGGGACCCTGCAGTGCCGGGTGGAAGGCAACCACATAGGTAAGTGAAAAGCCCCTGTTTCTGCAATTTCTGCAGCTCCTTGGGCAGAGGTGGGGAGTCTTGCCTTCCAAATTAAAAGTGTGACTTCAGGCTGAGTCCATAAAACCTGCTTCAGGTGCCTGACTTACCATGGTCTTAAGCATAACCACGGCAGTAAGTGATTTGCATCCCCTTGGCTATCTGTGCAGCCTTTTGGAGAAAATGAACTGCAGTGCCCAAGTGAAGCAGTGACAAAAATGGTGTAAACATGACCAGAAGCAACTAAGCGATTTGGCTTCTTTTCTGTCTTTGCTCAGTTTCCTTTTTTTTTCTTGTATGTGATGGACCTTCCCTTTCCTCCTTCGTTAAGACAGAGGAATAGGTTGGGTATCCACATTCATGGCCTCTCTGGTAGCAGTTTGGATCACTTGCTTTGTCACTGCTTCATTTTCCTCACTTTCCACCACTCTGAGGAAGCTTCTGATTTCTTTCTGAGGCTTTGTCTGCACAGCAAACTTCCTGCTTGGGAAAGGTGATCCGAGTTAACTAAATACATCTGAAATGAATACCTAGCTTTCATGTAGATGCTGGCTGCTCAATTCAATAGCCTGAAATTTTGAGGTGTCTTGGAGCATCTAGGACCTCTGCTGCCTCCCAAACATGATGGAGGGCTGGTGGCATGGCAGGTGAGGTCAGATAAGACCCACAAGGTCCTATCCCCGCAAGAATCTAGACCCACAGAGGGTCTAAGATAAAACAAAGAACATACATATACAGACAAATCCTACCCCTGACAGTCAACCTGTAGACTCAGATATATAATTGTAGGTGTTTACCCTGTAGTGTCTACCTATGATCTAAGGCTCTAAGCTCATTATGCTGTTAAGCAGTTCAGCTGTCTGCACGTGTGTGAGTTTGAGATGCTGTACAATGTCCCACCTGGCCTCTTGGTACCCCATCAGAAGGGCACGATCTCCTGCCACATCTATCAACCATCTACAGATGTCTTGACTGCCCTAGGACATCTCAAATGACACCTGAAACTTGTGCATGAGCAAAGGAATTAAGCTCTAAATTTTCACTGGCTGTTCTAGGAGCTCATATATAGATCCCTGCATGTAGACATCTGAATATGTCTTAAACTGTGACCTGAACCCCACTCCTAAAATTAGGTAAAGGGAATCCTGCCCTAAGTGATACAATAGTCATGGCCCCATTTCAGCTTGAGACTTGCAAAGTGTTTCGGGTTATTGTTTTGGTTTTTTTGGTTACTTCTGAGATTTTCTGGACTGTCTCTTATGGTGCATGTTGATATATTTTTTTTCCTCTTCCTGTAAGGGTTGTGGTCAGTGACGCAGAGTCTAGTTGGAGGCCTGTAGCCAGCGGTGTCCCCCAGGGGTCAGTCCTGGGTCCAGTCTTGTTCAATGTATTCATCTGTGACCTGGAGGAAGGCACAGAGAGCACTCTCAGCAAGTTTGCTGATGATACTAAACTGGGGGGAGTGGCTGACACACCAGAAGACTGTGCTGCCATTCCGAGGGACCTGGACAGGCTGGAGAGATGGGCGGAGAGGAACCTCATGAAGACCAACAAAGGGTCCTGCACCTGGGGAGGAATAACCCCATGCAGCAGTACAGGCTGGGGGCTGACCTGCTGGAAAGCAGCTCTGCAGAGAAGGACCTGGGAGTGCTGGTGGACAAGTTGACCATGAGCCAGCAGTGTGCCCTTGTGGCCAAGAAGGCCCATGGTCTCCCGGGGTGCATTAGGCAGAGTGTTGCCAGCAGGTGGAGGGAGGTGATCCTGCCCCTCTCCTCA